TATAAAACTTCGTGTCACTTCAAACTCGAGTGATTTTCCTATTTTAAATCTGAAGATCGCGCGTTCCCATCTAAATTCTCACGGCTTGTCCTATTATAAACTCAGATTCCATATGACTTACGAGTCGTTGCGTGGTTCTCCCAAGTGTTCCGGTGTTTAAAACTATTGGATGATCATTATAACACTACGTCGTTCAAATATTAAAACGTGCGATCCATACTTAAACTCGTGTTCATTTACAAACCTCCCGTGTTCCATCTTAAATTTGTGCGGCACACTCGGTAAAGACACCGACCTCGAACGTCAACACACAGCGATAGTTGTGTTCAGTGTCACAGGAAGTCGCCTAAAAAATCTGAGCTCGTCTCCATTAAATCTGCGTCCAGCTGTTGGTGTAAAAATGTCTCATTTGCATTGATCACACCATCCCTCTCCATGGTCGTTTCAACATACGGCGGCTCGGTCTCCTTAATTGATTGAATTACTTTTCAGGTCCACTTCATACCTATCTCGTTTAGTTTTGTTCAAATAGACTGGTTCCGTTTCAATTTTCCTGTTAGAAAACTTGCATCTCAAATATGTATGTTCAAGACTCGTGTCAATTCGGTCGTTCCCGGAATTCGTGTTCATGAAATTACTGGTGTGCGAATCCAACTTACCTCGTAGGCGATGTTCCAACCTGTATAACACCATACGTGTCATTTAAATTCTCCGCTCCTATCATTAACCAGTATACATTGTGAGAAACTCAGATGTCCACCACTATCACATCAGAGACATCATAGGTCATTAAAACTAGCGTTTGCACATAGTGCCGATCTTAACTCGGCTGTTCAGTTTACCCCGGTGTGCATACGGTTGTCGAAAATCGTGTCATTCTAAAACTCTTTGTCAGTGGTCTAAGACTACGATCCGTGAACACTGTACCATTTTACACGAGCCACCTCGAGATACTGTAGCGACTCGTGTGCACTATATTAAATTGTGTCAATTTCATGCATTCTGCACTTCTAAAACTACAATCGATCATGCACATATTAGAAATCCAGAACCGCCAAACCCGTTCGCCATGTGCATTTAGGAGACTTCACTGCATCATTTATGAGAATCTGCGTGTCTATGTCAATCTGTGAAACAACTGCGTTCATTTTGATACTCCATGTGTTCTACACATTCAAACTTCTGTCCCAATTTACACACTCCGATGTACACCTTAATCCCATCGCTGGTACACCTTATAACCGGACTCTCTAGTCTCTCACTTTACATGCGGTCGATTCAAACTGACCGGCTATCATGTTTGTGTGAGAATTTTCGTGGCTCATTTAAACTCATGTCATTCGTTCCCTACATTTCAGTTTCATTAACTCGTTCCATTTAAACGTGATCAATCTCGCTTGTCACAACGTACAAAACCATGGCTGCGATAAAGAACCTGCCAGATTAAATTAAACTTAAGATGTCCACTGGCCGTGGTAGCAATATTTCTGTCATTTAGTAGTGAAGGCTCGGTTTTGTCCATTCTAATCTCCGTTCACTCAAACCTCAGTGCCAGATCGTAAATCCTAAATTCTGTCATTTAAAACCTCGTGTCAATTTAAACCGGTGGCTTTGTGGGGTCTTAAGTCTCTTCTGTGTGCTCCTTATAAATCAATGATCGATTCGTCTCATATTTTTAACAACCAGTGTCAATTTAAATGAGTCGTGTATTCATTTTTGAAAAATCAATTCGTTGGAACATGTTCATTCACAATTTCTAAACATGTCGGTGTCCGAATACTTATTATATGAAAACTGCTGCGTCCAGACAGTCTCATGCTTCATGAGAAAGATCTTATCGAAAACGTGTAACTACTAAGTATTTACAAATCGATCATCTAGATTTTAACTCTTAAGCAATTTCTAAGAGAGCGTCCAGATCAGAATGAATAAACCACAATAAATCTAAAGCCCAAGTGCGATGTTAGAGCACATTGTGTCCATTAAACGTGTCCATGTCCGTTCTAAAAGTCTTCGGATTTCATGTTCTCATATACATTACCCAGTGTCATTATAAAACTCCAGTCAGAGATCAATATTCACACTCATCTTAAACTGAAATCCTGACAGAGCAAAACGTCAAATCGTTTTTAGATACAGAACATCTGAAACGTGGCCTCCTCTGATAAACTCTGCTCCGTACTAAAACGTCAGGAGAAGAAAGTGACAAAATATTTACTAACTATAAATGAGTTGCAATCAACTTTATTTACACCGTAATCTCGAGGTCCGACCGTCTACACTTGTCATTCAACTCGTGTCATTCCAACTCGTTCAGTACGTATATATACAATGGGTTATTCCGTGACCTTTCAAACCGGGTTCTTCATTTAAACCTCGTTTACCCCAATCCTTCCTTGTGTACTACTCTCTCTTGTTAATTCTGTTGTTGCAAGGAATTCTTTACTCTGACAACTGTCCGGAGCGTTAGCAAAGTTCGTCCGGCTGTGCTTAGAAGCTATCTGAAACCCTGTTGCCGGTGTCACTTTAAATTTGCGGTCGTCATTTAAACTCGGTTGTCACAATTTAATGACTTTCGTGCATGCCTTGACGGCAGCGATCGGTGTCACATTTAACACTGTCTCTCTGCATTGTCCTTAGCGGGACAATTCTGTGCAGCTGCTTAACAGATTCACGCATCCATCGTGACGGCTCCTGTAGAGGTTGGTCACCTTATTAACGCCGTTGTTCCGCTACATACTTTCAATCAGCCTGCCGCGATGTGTTAAACGATACGTTTTAAAATAACTCCGGTTGTTCCACATGATCCGTATACTAAAAAAACTTCAGTGCATTGCACATTTTAAACATTCCGTGCGTTTCAATTTTGACACCTGACTCCCGCGCCCCACCACGTGACCGTCATCTCACGACCCCGTTTCCGGCCCCCTCCATATTTCTCTAAACTCCGCTCCGTGTCATCGTTAATACTCAAGTAGGTCAACTTCCAGTACCCGTGTGACGATTTATACTGACGTTTTTCCAAGTAGTTCGCGAGTTTAAACACAGATCTACATTATGTATAGATCTCCATGGTGCGATCACTGTACGAACTCGTGTCCATGAATGACGAGCTCAACAGAATACCCGTGATTCATTTAAACATGCGCGTTGACAATTTACGACCTCACGTGCAGTGTTAAACCCAATGATCGTTTACACTAATATCGACATGGGTGATTATACGAAACTCGATTGTCAGCCTATAAAAGTACTCTAGTGTCAAGTATCATCGAAACTATCCTGTTTACTAAACAAAGACACACCGTAGTTGTCCTTCTCGTCCAAGATCTGATAATTAACGGACGATTGACGATCAGCTTTCTAAAATTTCAATACTCACTCGTGAGTCATACGAGTTTAAAGCTCCATTCTGATCAGATGTACACAGGCGTTAAGAGATCTCGTTGGTCTTAATATCGACTCATAAACATGCGTACACCGAGTTCGTTTGTTTTACATACAATGACACACCTGCCCCAGTGTCATTGTCGTTATAATAAAACTATGACACGCAGCGTTGTCTTATATACTAAGACACTCGTGTATTTCAAAATAACTGCAGTGTCCAACTTTAACCCTCGGGTGCAAGTGGTCGTGATAATTTCGTGTCATTTAATAACTCGTAATGACACTGTCGAGATATGGTAAACTCGTGTCATTTTAATAACTCGAAATATGACACTCGCATAGGTTTTTTAAAGTGATCACCTGAAAGAACTCGTTATCATTTAAACTCGTACTCATAATCTGATCACTACGTACGTACATTGTTTATTAACGACATGACATGTGATCCGTTTTAAATCTACAGTGTTAATCCGAGTTACACGAAATATTAAAACCTACTACATCGACACTCCGAATTTTAGTACCTCGTTCATGTCGTTATATCTCAAAAATGCTACCGTGTCATTTAAACAGCTCGTTAGTGTCAGCTATAACTCGCTGCATTTTAACCTCAGTGATCGACCCAATGCTCCGAGATTTTGCGTTTTAACATGACAACTGAAATTCGGTTTGTTCTTTTTAAAATAGCACGACGATGTTCATATTTAATAACTCGTCGTCTTTTAATATCGATCATGCACACATGCGATGTCATAGAAACTGGCTCGTAAAAATGACACGAGTTATGACAATGAACTCACGTAGTCAGTAACGTTACGTGTCAATAAAACGTTAATGACACGGTTTTAAACGCGACATCCATGACACAAGGTGATTAAATGACCACGATTCTAGTAACTGACACACGGATTATAAAAACGACTATGACAATCATGACGACCATGCAGTTTAAATGCAACACGAGTTAAATGACACGGCGATTAAACGACACTGACACGTTTAAAAATGACACGAGTTTAAATGACACGAGTTTAATGACGAGTTTAAATGACACGAGTTTAAACGACATGACACGAGTTTAAATGACACGAGTTTAAATGACACGAGTTTAAATGACACGAGTTTAAACGACATGACACATGACGACACGAGTTTAAATGACACGAGTTTAAATGACACGAGTTTTAAATGACACGAGTTTTAAACGACGACATGACACATGACACATGAGTTTAAAAATGACACGAGTTTAAAATGACACGAGTTTAAACGACATGACACATGAGTTTAAATGACACGAGTTTAAATGACACGAGTTTAAACGACATGACACGAGTTTTGACATTTGACAACATGACACGACGAATTTAAAACATGACACGAGTTTAAATGACACGAGTTTTAAAATGACACGAGTTTAAATGACACGAGTTTAATGAACATGACATGACACGAGAATTTTAAATGACACGAGTTTAAATGACACGAGTTTAAACGACGAGTTTAAATGACACGAGTTTAAATGAGTTTAAATGACACGAGTTTAAATGACACGAGTTTTAAAATGACATGACGAGTTTAAATGACACGAATTTAAAACATGACACATGACACGAGTTTAAATGACACGAGTTTAAATGACACGAGTTTAAATGACACGACACGAATTTAAACGACATGACAGTTTAAATGACACGAGTTTAAATGACACGAGTTTAAATGACACGAGTTTAAATGACACGAGTTTAAATGAATGACACGAGTTTAAATGACACACGAAATTTAAACGACATGACACGAGTTTAAATGACACGAGTTTAAATGACACGAGTTTAAATGACACGAGTTTAAATGACACGAATTTAAATGACACGAGTTTAAAATGACGAATTTAAATGACACGAGTTTAAATGACACGAAGTTTTTAAATGACACGAGTTTTAAATGACACGACACGAGTTTAAATGACACGAGTTTAAATGACACGAGTTTAAATGACACGAGTTTAAATGACACGAATTTAAATGACACATGACATGACACGAGTTTAAATGACACGAGTTTAAATGACACGAGTTTAAATGACACATGACACGAGTTTAAATGACACGAGTTTAAGTGACACGAGTTTAAATGACACGAATTTAAACGACATGACACGAGTTTAAATGACACGAGTTTAAATGACACGACATGACACGAGTTTAAATGACACATGACACGAGTTTAAATGACACGAGTTTAAACGACATGACACGAGTTTAAATGACACGAGTTTAAATGACACGAGTTTAAATGACACGAATTTAAACGACATGACACGAATTTAAACGACATGACACGAGTTTAAATGACACAAGTTTAAATGACACGAGTTTAAATGACACGATTTTAAATGACACGAATTTAAACGACATGACACGAGTTTAAATGACACGAGTTTAAATGACACGATTTAAATGACACAAAGTTTAAATGAATGACACGAGTTTAAATGACAACGAATTTAAATGACACGAATTTAAATGACACGAGTTTAAATGACACGAATTTAAATGACACGAGTTTAAATGACACGAATTTAAATGACACGAAGTTAAACGACATGACACGAGTTTAAATGACACGAGTTTAAATGACACGAATTTAAATGACACGAGTTTAAATGACACGAGTTTAAATGACACGAGTTTAAATGACACGAGTTTAAATGACACGAATTTAAACGACATGACACGAGTTTAAATGACACGAGTTTAAATGACACGAGTTTAAATGACACGAGTTTAAATGACACGAGTTTAAATGACACGAGTTTAAATGACACGAATTTAAACGACATGACATGAGTTTAAATGACACGAATTTAAACAACATGACACGAGTTTAAATGACACGAGTTTAAATGACATGACACGAGTTTAAATGACACGAGTTTAAGTGACACGAGTTTAAATGACACGAGTTTAAATGACACGAATTTAAATGACACGTATTTAAATGACACGAGTTTAAATGACATGACACGAGTTTAAATGACAAGAGTTTAAATGACACGAATTTAAATGACATGACATGAGTTTAAATGACACGAATTTAAATGACACGAATTTAAATGACACGAGTTTAAATGACATGACACAAGTTTAAATGACAAGAGTTTAAATGACACGAATTTAAACAACATGACACGAGTTTAAATGACACGAGTTTAAATGACATGACACGAGTTTAAATGACACGAGTTTAAGTGACACGAGTTTAAATGACACGAGTTTAAATGACACGAGTTTAAATGACACGAATTTAAATGACACGAGTTTAAATGACATGACACGAGTTTAAATGACAAGAGTTTAAATGACACGAATTTAAACGACATGACACGAGTTTAAATGACACGAGTTTAAATGACATGACACGAGTTTAAATGACACGAGTTTAAGTGACACGAGTTTAAATGACACGAATTTAAACGACATGACACGAGTTTAAATGACACGAATTTAAACGACATGACACGAGTTTAAATGACACGAGTTTAAATGACACGAGTTTAAATGACACGACATGACACGAGTTTAAATGACACGACACGAGTTTAAATGACACGAGTTTAAATGACACGAGTTTAAATGACACGAGTTTAAATGACACGAAGTTTAAATGACACGAGTTTAAATGACACGAGTTTAAATGACACGAGTTTAAATGACACGAGTTTAAATGACACGAATTTAAACGACATGACACGAGTTTAAATGACACGAGTTTAAATGACACGAGTTTAAGTGACACGAGTTTAAATGACACGAGTTTAAATGACACGAGTTTAAATGACACGAATTTAAACGACATGACACGAGTTTAAATGACACGAGTTTAAATGACATGACACGAGTTTAAATGACACGAATTTAAACGACATGACACGAGTTTAAATGACACGAGTTTAAATGACACGAATTTAAATGACATGACACAAGTTTAAATGACACGAGTTTAAGTGACACGAGTTTAAGTGACACAAGTTTAAATGACACGAGTTTAAATGACACGAGTTTAAATGACACGAGTTTAAACGATACGACACTGAGACTGATCTGAGTTCTTTTGAATTTCAGTTAAGAACAAAAAAACTGTTATTTAGTTTTTTCATTTTAGTGTCAAAAAAACAAACAAACAAATTTCAACCTTGATTTAAATTATTTATTTTCAAGTTTATGTCAAATATAAAACCAATCAAAAAACAGTCTCAGTGCTGTTTTAATTTGATGTTTTATTCTCTCTGGTTTATTTGTGGCGGACGTTCTGCTGCTCAGTTTGTTTTTAAATGTTTGTTGTGTCAGTTTGTGTCGTGGTTGTTTTAGGAAGCGGCTGCATCCAGATCCTCCAAAAACACCACAGTCTGGAGCAGGAAACAAACATGAGCACATTTCCTCCACACTGAAGAAAAATGGAATTAAAATCCATCCATTTTCTTCAGTTTATCCAGGGACTGTGGCAGAAGTCCTCCCACAGCGGAGTAGAGCCGCTGCTCCTCCTCGTGGAGAGGAGCGTCTGAGGGGAGGAGCTCGGAGTAGAGCCGCTGCTCCTCCTCGTGGAGAGGAGCGTCTGAGGGGAGGAGCTCGGAGTAGAGCCGCTGCTCCTCCTCGTCGTCCGAGTAGAGCCGCTGCTCCTCCACGTGGAGAGGAGCGTCTGAGGGGAGGAGCTCGGAGTAGAGCCGCTGCTCCTCCTCGTGGAGAGGAGCGTCTGAGGGGAGGAGCTCGGAGTAGAGCGCTGCTCCTCTCGTGGAGAGGAGCGTCTGAGGGGAGGAGCTCGGAGTAGAGCCGCTGCTCCTCCTCGTGGAGAGGAGCGTCTGAGGGAGGAGCTCGGAGTAGAGCGCTGCCTCCTCGTGGAGAGGAGCGTCTGAGGGGAGAGCTCGGAGTAGAGCCGCTGCTCCTCCTCGTGGAGAGGAGCGTCTGAGGGGAGGAGCTCGGAGTAGAGCCGCTGCTCCTCCTCGTGGAGAGGAGCGTCTGAGGGAGGAGCTCGGAGTAGAGCCGCTGCTCCTCCTCGTGGAGAGGAGCGTCTGAGGGGAGGAGCTCGGAGTAGAGCCGCTGCTCCTCCTCGTGGAGAGGAGCGTCTGAGGGGAGGAGCTCGGAGTAGAGCCGCTGCTCCTCCCGTGGAGAGGGAGCGTCTGAGGGAGGAGCTCGGAGTAGAGCCGCTGCTCCTCCTCGTGGAGAGGAGCGTCTGAGGGGAGGAGCTCGGAGTAGAGCCGCTGCTCCTCCACGTGGAGAGGAGCGTCTGAGGGGAGGACGTCTGTTCTGATGTCTCCTGGACGTGTCCCTCAGGAGGTGTTCATGTCCCAGCGGGAGGAGGAGACCCAGGACACACTGGAGGGACCATGTCTCTGGACTGGACTGGGAACACCTCAGGTCCCACTGGAGGAGCTGGAGGAAGTGTCTGGGGTGAGGGAAGTCTGGGAGTCTCTGTTCAGACCCCAGAAGTAAGATGAGCTCAGAAATGAGTTTTCAAAGATTTAGTGAAAAACACAACCTAAGACACAAAGAAGTGGACAGATGCACTGAGCTCATTTTGGGGACAAACGTGTCTCTTCTTTAATTGTGACGCATTTATTTTCACGTCTTAGAAAATCACTGTTGAACTTGACGACAAACAGCGATAAAATCTCCTTTGTTCAGTCGACGGGCGGAGCTGAAAACAGAACTTCACACAAACCAGAAAAAGGTTTTTGATTGGTGTTGTTTGACATAAACTTTAAATTAAATATTGGAAATAGAGGTTGAAAATGGAAAAATGAAATAACAAACTGTTTTCCCATTTTATTGTTTTTCATTTTTCACTGAAATTCAAAAGAACCATCGATACTTGGACCCTGAGGCGTAAAGTCTGTCGTGTCTCTGCAGCTGAAGACGCCGGGGACACAGGGTCAGAGGGGACAGTAGTGAGGACACAGGAGCTCAGACAGAGGACGGGAGGGCATCTGACACACGGGGACAAGGACAGGAGGACGGGAGGGCATCTGACACACGGGGACAAGGACAGGAGGACGGGAGGGCATCTGACACACGGGGACAAGGACAGAGGGACGGGAGGGCATCTGACACACGGGGACAAGGACAGGAGGACGGGAGGGCATCTGACACACGGGGACAAGGACAGGAGGACGGGAGGGCATCTGACACACGGGGACAAGGACAGGAGGACGGGAGGGCATCTGACACACGGGGACAAGGACAGGAGGACGGGAGGGCATCTGACACACGGGGACAAGGACAGGAGGACGGGAGGGCATCTGACATCATTCTTCTGTGTGCAGCAGCCAGACGCCTCCAGAGCCGCGTGACGTCGAACCAACTCAGGACCAGTGACCTCGTGCTGACCCCGCCCCCCCTCTCCGACCCCGCCCTCCCCCAGGCCACGCCCCCCAGCGCCGCCGCCACAGCCGCCGTCACCCTCAGGCCCCTCCCCCGGAAGTCGCCCAAACTCTGGGCGCGACGCAACGCCCACGTGACGCCCATCAACGGCCCCGCCCCCCTGTCCAGCGAGTGGCCCGACGTCGACTTCAACCCCCTGCAGGAGTTTCAGAAGATCCACGAGTTCTACGGACGAGAAGTACTGCGAGCGAGGGACGAGTGGGAGAGGACGAGGGAGGAGGGGACGAGGGAGGAGACGAGGGAGGAGACGAGGGAGGAGACGAGGGAGGGGACGAGGGAGGAGACGAGGGAGGAGACGAGGGAGGAGACGAGGGAGAGACGACGAGGGAGGAGACGAGGAGGACGAGGAGGAGGGGACGAGGGAGGAGACGAGGGAGGAGGGGACGAGGGAGGAGACGAGGGAGGAGACGAGGGAGGAGACGACGAGGGAGGAGACGACGAGGGAGGAGACGAGGAGAGGAGACGAGGGAGGAGACGAGGGAGGAGACGAGGGAGGAGGAGACGAGGGAGGAGACGAGGGAGGAGGAGACGAGGGAGGAGGGGACGAGGGAGGAGGAGACGAGGGAGGAGGAGACGAGGGAGGAGGAGACGAGGGAGGAGGACAGAGACCTCATCGACTTGTTGTTGTAACATCTGGACTGAGTCTGTGCGTCTCTTCTGTGTTTTGGGTCCAGATGTTCTGGGAACCGTGTGTCGTTCGTTCATTTGTTTTTCAAAATAAAACCAAAAATAATAAAACTAAAAAAAAAACTATTTTCTTTATTATTTGTTTCCAAAACCAAAATGAAAAAAAAAACAGATAAAGATTTTTTTTTTTTTTTCAGTTTTCAATTTTGTGTTTAAATGAAAAATGGAAAAAATGGATAAAGAACTAAACCAGGACTAAACCAGGACTAAACCAGGTCTAAACCAGGACTGAACCAGGACTAAACCAGGAATAAACCAGGACTGAGCCGGTCCCGGTCTCAGTCCTGATCACCCAATAGTTTACACGGGCGCACCTCCGGGCCTGTCCCGACACTCCGGGTTTTAGTTTTGGTTTTAGTCCTGTTTTAGTCCTGTTTTTAGTCCTGGTTTAGTCCTGGTTCAGTCCTGTTTTAGTCCTGGTTTAGTCCTGTTTTAGTCCTGGTTTAGTCCTGTTTTAGTCCTGGTTTAGTCCTGGTTTAGTCCTGGTTTAGTCCTGGTTCAGTCCTGGTTTAGTCCTGGTTCAGTCCTGTTTTAGTCCTGGTTTAGTCCTGGTTCAGTCCAGCATCTCAGTTTAAGTTATGGAAACAGGAAAAGGCCGTTATCCATTTTTTTCCATTTTTCATTTAAACACAAAATCAAAAACTGAAAAAAAAAACAAAAAAACATTATTTGTTTTTTCACTTTGGTTTTGGAGACAAATAATGAAGAAAATTGTTTTTTTGTTTTATTATTTTTGGTTTTATTTTGAAAAATGAATGAATGAATGACAGTTTTACAGTTTTCTCCTGTGGCCGCGAGCGTCTGCTTCACTTCAACATCAACATCCGGATGAACAACTTTCCAAAGTGAAGTTTTCTCACAAAAACTTTGCTGCAAACTCTGGTCTGTAAGTCCAAACTGTAGAACAGGTAACTTTCCTCTGGTGTTAATAAACGAGGTAACATGAGATCAGCTACTATCAAATGTGTTGTTGCTGATGTTAAAATCAGATCTGGAAACATTAAGACGAAACAGCGGCGACAGAAGAGCGAGAAATGTCACGACGAACCTCACAGTGCCACGTTTACTGTGACGTTGTGGGAAAACTGGGTGGAGAGGCTCATGATTAGAAATGTAACAATATCCAAATGTGTGTGTACGATGTTTTCATGATAAACATGTCACGTGCATCGGTGATGTTCTGTGAAGACGAACAAAACTGTGAATAAACTTCTGCCTCTTAAAAGACCTTGACAAAACTAAATCCAAAGAACTAAGAGTTAAAAGTGTTAGAGCTGTTATTTCTTCTTGTCATCTGCGCTCAAATGGAGCAAAGGATCATGGTCTATGTCAGGGGTGTCAAACATATGGCCCGGGGGCCAGATCTGGCCCACCAACACCTTTAATCTGGCCCTCAGTTGATTTTCTCCTCAAATATTTGAATGATATTTTCTATTAAAATGGTATTAATTTTCTGTGGTGTTTATCACAGCAGCGTCTCCAGCGTCTCTGTACGTGGCCCCTCCCACCAGAGCAGCACAAATGAAGACTTGTCTCTTTCCAAACGTCTTAAAGGACGATGGTTTTGACTGTCGACCGTGACACCCTCATCAGAAAAATGTCCAACATGAGAAAAAGTGGAAAAAGAAAAATGGACTTATTCCTGTTTACAGACAAGTTCATGTTCAAACTTTGTGTTGAAATTGTATTTTTCTTAAAGTTTCAGGTTGTTCATAATATTATAATATTATAATAATAAAAAGTTCATCAATTCAAAAAGTTTTGTGTAATAGATTTGTGTTTCTCTGCACAAATATTTGAACTTCTTGTTATTTTTGGGGTTTATATGACCTGAGTTTGACACTCCTGGTCTGTGTTGTTCCTCTGTGTTTTTAACTCTTCATTTAAACAAAGACACTTGTGATTTGATTTATTGTGATGCTCCATGATTTTACTGTGAGAACTTTGATGATACGAGATCATGATATTTTGGTTATTGTTACATCCCTAATAAGAACATTACTCAGTTAAAGTTGTCGAAATAAACAGTGAACTTCCTGACATCCTGGTCGTTCACTGAAGACAAAGCGGCTCCACTGCCAAAAAAAAATTCCCGGGTAAATGACGTTATTCCCAGTGTCCAGTGCCTCGTATCACGACAGAAACACAGGCTGCAGCTGGACTCTTCTCCATGCACTGCCCCCGTGTGGTGGCCCCCGTGTGGTGGCCCCCGTGTGGTGGCCCCCGTGTGGTGGTCCTCTGTGTGGTCCTCATGTGGTCCTCTGTGTGGTGGCCCCCGTGTGGTGGTCCTCAGTGTGGTCCTCTGTGTTTACTCGTGTGAAATCAAACCCCTGGATCATGTTGAGCGAGTTGTTCATACAAACATTTAAAGAGCCACATGCCGAGGCTCAGTGACAGCGGCTCCCGTTTGGACGGAGGAGGCGGCTCCCGTTTGGACGGAGGAGGCGGCTCCCGTTTGGACGGAGGAGGCGGCTTCTGTCCGTTTAAATAAAGAGATGAAGAGTCGGAGCTCGTCTCACTGGAAACAGAACAGGATTTACAGAAGAACATCTCCTCGTGTCATGTTCCAGCTGAACAGAGTAAATACAGGAGCAGGTTCAGAGTCTGAAGAGACGGTGACAGAAACAGACTGAACTTCTGTCGCCTCCTGATGATTCTCAGGTCAAAACTGAAGCAGCTTCTCACCAAACATGAGATTTAAGAACCTGCATTTAGGCAAAAAAAAGTCCAGGTGAAATTCAGATCAGGTCCTGTTAAATCTTTTCAGTTTCAGTGTTCTTTTCTTTGTGGTTTTGTCAGTGTTTTCTGTGTCACTCTGAGCCGCTCCCACTCAGTGACATCATCAGGTGCTTTGCTTTAACAGGAGTCTGTGTTTATTTGATTTCAGGTGAAAGTGACGTAAAAAAACCCATCTTTGTGTGTGTGTGTGTGTGTGTGTGTGTGTGTGTTTATGTGTGTGTGTGTGTGTGTGTGTGTGTGTTTATTGTGTGTGTGTGTGTGTGTGTGTGTGTGTGTGTGTGTGTGTGTGTGTGTGTGTGTGTGTGTGTGTGTGTGTGTTTATTTATGTGTGTGTGTGTGTGTGTGTGTGTGTGTGTGTGTGTGTGTGTGTGTGTGTGTGTGTGTGTGTGTGTGTGTGTGTGTGTGTGTGTGTGTGTTTATGTGTGTGTGTGTGTTGTGTGTGTGTTTATGTGTGTGTGTGTGTGTGTGTGTGTGTGTGTTTGTGTGTGTGTGTGTTTATGTGTGTGTGTGTGTGTGTGTTTATGTGTGTGTGTGTGTGTGTGTTTATGTGTGTGTTTGTGTGTGTTTATGTGTTTGTTTGTGTGTGTGTGTTTGTGTGTTTGTGTGTTTATGTGATGAGACTTTGAATTTTGTGTAAATAAACAGTGAAACTTATAAGAACGTTCCAGTGAATTTCCGTGTGTTCCTGCATGTTCCTTTGTTTTCTCGAGTGTTTTACCATGTGTTCCAGAGTGTTCCAGTGTGTTCCAGTGTGTTCCAGTGTGTTCCAGTGTGTTCCAGTGTGTTCCAGTGTGTTCCAGTGTGTTCCAGTGTGTTCCAGTGTGTTCCAGTGTGTTCCAGTGTGTTCCAGTGTGTTCCAGTGTGTTCCAGTGTGTTTCCAGAGTGTTCCAGAGTGTTCCAGTGTGTTCCAGTGTGTTCCAGTGTGTTCCAGTGTGTTCCAGAGTGTTCCAGAGTGTTCCAGTGTGTTCCAGTGTGTTTCCAGAGTGTTCCAGTGAGTGTGTTCCAGTGTGTTCCAGAGTGTTTCAGTGTGTTCCAGAGTGTTCCAGTGTCCAGTGTGTTCCAGTGTGTTCCAGTGTGTTCCAGTGTGTGTGTTCCAGAGTGTTCCAGTTCCAGTGTTCCAGTGTGTTCCAGTGGGTTTCCAGTGTGTTCCAGTGTGTTCCAGAGTGTTCCAGTGTGTTCCAGTGTGTTCCAGTGTGTTCCAGTGTTCCAGAGTGTTCCAGAGTGTTCCAGTGTGTTCCAGTGTGTTCCAGTGTGTTCCAGTGTGTTCCAGTGTGTTCCAGAGTGTTCCAGTGTGTTCCAGTGTGTTCCAGTGTGTTCCAGTGTGTTCCAGTGTGTTCCAGTGTGTTCCAGTGTGTTTCCAGAGTGTTCCAGTGTGTTCCAGAGTGTTCCAGTGTGTTCCAGTGTGTTCCAGTTCCAGTGTTCCAGTGTGTTCCAGTGTGTGTGTTCCAGTGTGTTCCAGAGTGTTCCAGTGTGTTCCAGTGTGTTCCAGTGTGTTCCAGTGTGTTCCAGTGTTCCAGTGTGTTCCAGAGTGTTCCAGAGTGTTCCAGTGTGTTCCAGAGTGTTCCAGAGTGTTCCAGTGTGTTCCAGTGTGTTCCAGTGTGTTCCAGAGTGTTCCAGTGTGTTCCAGTGTGTTCCAGTGTGTTCCAGAGTGTTCCAGAGTGTTCCAGTGTTCCAGTGTGTTCCAGTGTGTTCCAGAGTGTTCCAGTGTGTTCCAGAGTGTTCCAGTGGGTTTCCAGTGTGTTCCAGAGTGTTCCAGTGTGTTCCAGAGTGTTCCAGAGTGTTCCAGTGTGTTCCAGTGTGTTCCAG